TCAGTTGATCTGAGCTGGTGGTCATTGTAAGACCTAAAGTCTCACTTCCACTCCACGGAGCGTGAACAACCGAAAGGCCTCCACGATGCTGGGCCCTAACACCCAGCGAGGCTCCGGGAACACGACAGAGAACCGAGAAACCCAGGAAGGAACACACCAGCCTAGATGGTAAAAGAGACCTTTATTAGTCTGGCCAGACGGCACTCCCGGAGCCAGGTGGCTCAGAGAGGCAACTGCTCAGGGGCTGAGGTACTTTTTATAAGGTTTTACTAAACAAAGAGTCAGGGAATTCACAGAACAAGACTGCAAACACATTGCTTATCTTATGCAGGAAATGTTCTAGGGTCACCTTTTGTCAAACCATTTGCCCCTGGGCGGGCTGTTAACCAAGGTAGCAATTAGCATATGAAGAAGCACAGTCTGGCCTATTAGCATGGAGTCACTTTAGCCTATTCAAGTCTTACAGTCATCAATCATACACTCGACCGATATGTACTAATGATCAGCAGATCGATTATCCATTGCTCTATTTACAACTTAGATTATGGTGTTCAGAACATTCAACTATGGGCAAGTAAGGAGTGGCGTGATTGATTTTGGGTCTCTATGTTCATTACAGTTTCCATTTTCCCAGCTACTTCTGAGCAGTTACCTAAAAATTCACAATTAATCATTAGTTATCCTATGAGGGATGGGGGGAAGCAACAGTCTCTGGGTCATTTGCTGGTCAACATGGAGTCACTCTAGTTCAGTTAGGCTCTTACAGTGGTGCATGTCTGTAATCCTAGCACTTGGGAGGCTGAAGCAGGAGGATCACTGTGAGTTTGTAAGACTTGAATAGGCTAAAGTGACTCCATGCTAATAGACCAGACTGTGCTTCTTCATATGCTAATTGCTACCTTGGTTAACAGCCCGCCCAGGGGCAAATGGTTTGACAAAAGGTGACCCTAGAACATTTCCTGCATAAGATAAGCAATGTGTTTGCAGTCTTGTTCTGTGAATTCCCTGACTCTTTGTTTAGTAAAACCTTATAAAAAGTACCTCAGCCCCTGAGCAGTTGCCTCTCTGAGCCACCTGGCTCCGGGAGTGCCGTCTGGCCAGACTAATAAAGGTCTCTTTTACCATCTAGGCTGGTGTGTTCCTTCCTGGGTTTCTCGGTTCTCTGTCGTGTTCCCGGAGCCTCGCTGGGTGTTAGGGCCCAGCATCGTGGAGGCCTTTCGGCTGTTCACGCTCCGTGGAGTGGAAGTGAGACTTTAGGTCTTACAAGTTCAAGACCAGCCTGGGCTACATAGTGAGGTGTAGGTCAGTTTCAACTACATAGTGAGACCCTGCCTCAAAAAAATAAAAACAATCTATCTTGGTTCTTATTTTTTCCCCATTCCCCTGCCCTCCCTTCAACCCCTCCACCCCTCCCTATTTACAAAGACTTTGTTTCATGTTTTCATTTTCTCTTTGGCTAGTCATGTTTTAAACACACCCTTCTATTTATTTAAGGACATTAAATACACTTACATTCTACACCTGATAATTTCAGTATCGAAGGGGTTTGTATATTCTGTTGACTCTTGGTGAAGGTGCCTCATTTCCTTTTGTGGCTTGTGACTTTGGATGGCGAACTTGTATCCATTGGACTATTTTTCCACCTGTGGTACTGGTGACTGATCCCAGGGGTTAGGTTTAGGATTAGAGTAAGGTTACAGTTAAGATTAGAGTTAGGGTCAATTCCACAAATGGCTCAACTCTTTTCACTCCTCCTCCTCTGATTGCCT